TTCAGCAGGGCCCACCCCGTGCAAATCACGACCTCACACGGTAGTGCGTCTGAATGAAGCGGGGCTACATCTGTAGTTAAAACTTCACAAGTTGGATGTGGACGTTTGCGAACATTCTGTAGCTAACGCCGGTCACTCACCAAGATAGCTGCCCAGTTCTCCACTGGTTCTCCTCACACCACAGCTCAATTTCTCTCCGATGGCCGTTATTTCTTCTAATCCTTGGCTGCTCCTGGTCTCTTGGACGCCTAGCAGGCTCATAATTATAAGGTTGTGGTCCGTCATATGCATTAGAATATTCATGTTCAACTTCTTCTGTGTCTTCTGTGTCGAAACTAGCATTGGGATCCATGTTTATTAATACGTTACACCGGCCGCTCTCCCCCTTGTGTCCCCCGTGTTACGTCACACGCGGGAGGTCACGTGCCGAGGCTTTTTTATGCGGAAGTGAACATTTCTTACAAAAACGACGCCAGATGTCACTGTAGTGTATATTTCTGTATATTTTTTTGAAAATCTAGTGTATTCATCATTTTCCTACACATTTATTCACAGGTGTCTTTAACCTGGAAGTTGCTCTTTAAGGGTATATTTGCCCACACTGATATACTATTGTAGCCCATTTGTAAATTCAGAGCCTATTAGTGTTTTAATCTTGTGGAGGTCTGCACTCATTTTACAAAGATTGGATAACCTTTGATGGCATAAACAGTAGGCTATAGGTATAACAATATTTTAGTGGTGATTCCCAGTGGCATGATGGTGTCTCAGAGTTATGATTTTGAACGCATATGCTCATGCATGGTTTTGCAATGCAACGTGAAATGCAGCATTTCGGAGATGCTGCTGCTGTCAAAGGTTATATACACTTTGCGTAATGGCTCCAATACTCCTGATAATAGGCCTGTCTGTCTGCAGATGCACTTTGGTTTAATTAGGTCTAACTACACATTTCTGCCTTTACAATCAGACTCGTTTGGCAGAATTCCTCAGTGGTGCTGTCACAGGCCTGTAGTTGTTTCGGCGCAGCATTGTTTTAGTCTAATTCTTTTAGGTTACCAGCAACAAGCCTTTGGTTCGTATTCTGCCTCAACGCAGA